CAGCTGATATGCTAGTACTTCATCCATGCACACATTTAATTAAAAACATTTTTAATTTTATATGTAGAAGTGTTTTGCCTGTATGTATGTCTGTGAACCATGTGTGAGCGTGGTGCCCATGGAGGCCAAGAGAGAGCATTGGATCCCCTGGGATTGAAGTTAATATGTTTGGGAACAGCCATATTGGTGCTGAGAATTGAACCTGGGTCCTGTGGAAGAACAGCCAGTGCTCTTAACCACTGAGCCTCCTCTCCCCTCCCCCCCAAGAGACAGTTACAGGTTTGTATCTTCCTCTAGAAAGATTTCTATATAGGCTCCAAAAGACTGATCTCTACCCATGTCATCCCTACAAAGCTGGTGGTGGTGTCTTAAATTTCTGTCAGGATTCTTTAAAGTTTTTCAAGACAGGGTTTCTCTGTGTAGCCCTGGCTGTCCTGGAACTTACTCTGTAGATCAGGCTGACTTCAAATTCAGAGATTGCTTGCCTCTGCCTCCCAAGTGCTGGGTTTCATCAGCATATCATCATCTCCTGACTTGGAGTTTTTGTTTTGTTCATTCTGTTTCTCCCTCTCACCTCATTATCCAGCCATGGCTCATAAACTGATTCTGCCTTGCCCTTCAGACCAAGCAACTAAAATCTCACCTACCCCTATTCTTAGTAGCATTGGGGTTTGAAGAGATCTGGCCAGTGGCCTATGGAATGTCCCCTTCTTGATTTGGGTTAATGGTGATGATTTCTTAATTATAAAGTAATTTCAGACATAGTATCATAAGAACCAATCTATACTTGCTCAGTGTCCCAGGTTGCTTATGTCTGAATGATTTGGTAGTGAATTACAGATGCTATTTTATACCTTAGTTCTCCAGTGTTTGTTTTTTTGTGCATTGTCTTAGATAAGCAAAGCATGTCAACATTAGCGTGTGGAACATTGGTGGGCACTGTTACCTAGAACAATTAATGTCTACATTTTTCTCCTTGTCCCAGTAATGCCCATCTCCACAGCTATTTCCCTGGTTGGAATCCAGTTCAGGGTCACTGGTAACATTTTCTTGTGGCTGTGGATTTCAGCAAGGTACTCAAGGCTGCTGAGCCCCACTGCCATCCCATGGCTCATCTGCTTTGCCTTCCTCTTGTTACCAAGGGAGGGGTCCTCTTTGCTATGAAGTCGCACCTTCACTTGAGTACTCCTAGACCCTGTCCTGGACACATAGGTCTCGGCCCCAGGCCTTCTCCCCTAATTTAATGAAAACTGCTGATATTTTTCTTGGTGTTAGGGAACTTCTTGGTTCTGTTGTCCCCTGCTAGCACTGCCTTGTTATTTGTCTTCGATAGTGCTAGCTCAGAGACCATATGAGTTCTCTAAAGTTCACCCTCCTCTCAGGTCTCAGGTCTCCTCCCAGAAACCTTTAATTGCTGCCCCCACAGTGTTCAGCCAGAGAGGAGTTTGGGGGACCCTGGAATAATCTCTTGGCTTTCTGCACTGGCTTCTGGGACATCACCCTACTGGGGGTCCACTCCTCTGAATCTTTTTTTCAGCTTCTTAATTATGGGGTTCCCCTGGCCTAGAGCTGAGCAGCCAAGGCAGGTGAAGTATCTGCCCTTTGCTATTCAGTGTTCACTGTTTAGACAGTGGCGGGCCTTTCCTGAGTCCAGAACACTCCATCATCCTTTCTTTTCTTTTTTTTTTAAATATTTATTTATTTGCTTATTATGTATACAGTATTCTTTCTTCAGTCCAGAAGAGGGCACCAGGCCTCATTACAGATGGTTGTGAGCCACCATGTGGTTGCTGGGAATTGAACTCAGGATCTTTGGAAGAACAGGCAATGCTCTTAACCGCTGAGCCATCTCTCCAGCCCTCCATCATCCTTTCTAACCTAGACAGTTGTGCACCTTTCTGAGTCCAGAACCCTCCATCATCCTTTCTATCCTAGACAGAGGTGCGCCTTCCTGAGTCCAGAACCCTCCATCAGCCTTTCTAACCTAGACAGTGGTGCACCTTTCTGAGTCTAGAATCATCCATCCTTTCTATCCTAGACAGAGGTGCGCCTTCCTGAGTCCAGAACCCTCCATCAGCCTTTCTATCCTAGACAGTGGTGCACCTTTCTGAGTCCAGAACCCTCCATCATCCTTTCTATCCTAGACTCAGCCTTTTGATCTCAGGGTAGAGAAGTTGCCCCTTGCAGAGACTGCGCTCAGTCATTTTGGGTACCATCTTCCGTGCTGAGGTTCAGAGGCCCTCATGGCAAAACTCTTGGGGATCTGTGCCTGCCACTGATAGTTGCAGCCCTTGGCCTACCAGTACTGCAGTGTCCCATGTATAAACCAGAAGCTGTATTGTATATGTGATGGAGAATGTGATCCATTAAACTTCATCCTTTATGCTCTGGTCCAAGTACAGCCCATACCAGGTAGGTGTCATTCATGCAGCCTGTGGGGTGGTTCTGCCTGGTGCACTGGGAAGCTGAATCCTCTCTACCACTGACTTCACCTGACACTGGGGTTCGATGTGGAGCTGATACAGCAGGCAGTAAACACAGCTTCCCAGAGAAGAAAAGACTGCCACTAGCCCTGGATGGGCTCTGCAGTGTGGATGACGAACCCAACAGCTAGAGGTTTTGCTGAGGCTGATATAGGTCCATTTGCTACAGCATAGCCTATGTTCAGGGGCCTCAGGGTTGGAACTTGTAGCTTGATTCTCATAAGAGCATGGTTGGCACAGGTGGAGCAGTAGGAAGCCAAGAGGTAGAGTCACACCTCTCAAATACTCCCAAATTCCAGGGAAGCTGCTGTTGTAGAGATTCTTTCCCTCTTTAGAACATGCCACCAGAAGTACCTGTCAGCCACCCACCGAGTACCTATGACCCGTGTGTCACTGAGTGGCCAAAACTGTGCAATGCTCTGTTTTAAAAATAAAGTGTCTTGCACAAAATAGCTGTATTCTTTGTTCTGCTCTATACCTGCTTACCCATTGGCTATTCTGGGCCCCTCCTTGTTGAGAGCTATGCTCCAGCTTCCTTGATTATTCTGTATGCATTAGTATTTTTTGGTCATATTTGCTTTTTATTAATTGAATACCCATCCTTCCTCTGTCCTCAAATTAAGATTTTATGTCCCTCAGTCTCTTTCTAATGAGTGCATTTAAAGCAAATATTTTTTTTCTTTGTATTAGGATTAGGAAATAAGTCCTCATAGCTCATGTAGCTAGCCCAGGCTGGCCTCAGACTCTGTGTAGCTCAGGTTGACCTTGAACTTCTGGTCTTCCTGCCTTTCCTTTTCAAGTGCCCAGTGTATGCTGGGGATTGAACCCAGGGCATGAGTACCCTCTCAACTCCACCCTCTCAGGTCTACTCCCAGAAGCATTTAGTTGCTGCTCCCATACTGCTCAGCCAGAGATGGGCCCATGTGGGCCCTCAAGACATCCCTTGACTTTCTGCACTGGGTTCAGGACATCACCCTCCTGGGACCAAGGATGTGACTCATTGGTAGAGTACTTGTAAGGTCCTGGGTTTGATTTCCAGTGCTGCAAAACAAAAACAAAACAGTGAGGTACCACTTCAATATCAATCAGAAAAACAAAACAAAAAATGAAAATAGCCAGAGTTAGGAAAGATCTGGAGAAATTTTAACACTTGTGTGTGCCCTGATGGTGAAATACGAAGTGGTGTAGCCACTGGAGAACAGTATGGTAGTTCTCAGAACATTCTCAGAATTACCATATGACCCAGCAAGAGATTGAAAACCAGAATCAAACTGACATTTGGCTGAGCAGTCCCAGTGCTCATCAGCAGAGAGTGGACAAGCAGAATGTTTTGTGGACACACATAGCAATGTTCAGCATTCTGGCACCTACTGTATGGACACTCCTTGACAAGCTGAGATAAGCCAGTCACCAATGTGAGGTCTCTGAATAGAACAAACTAAAGATGGAAACTTACTGGTGTGTGTCAGAGCAGGCAGTGGGATCCCATGGTTAATGACAGAATTGCTATTTGGAATGATAATAAGAGACATTTGGAAGAAGCTTCTGGTGACAGACACAGTATTTAATGCCATGGGTAAACTTGGAAGTGGTGAAAACACCAAATTTTACTATACATATTTACCAAAGCAGGGATATACAAACCTGGATTTATGAATCTAGAACACCATATATATATATATATATATATATATATATATATTTTAAATTTCTAAACATGAACAAAAACAATAGAACAGTGAAGGCCCTGAGCCTAGCCTCCTCCCACTTTAGTGAGTTAGAACACTTCCAGCTATTTTCTTCCATTTGTAGACAGCCATCCCGATGTCTGTCTCTGCACTCACAGGTCTCTGTGCTCTGGTCCCTTTCCTCTCGAGGTCACTTATCGTGTAGGAATTCCCACATCTGCATCTCATAACTTCATGGAAATGGTTAACTACTTATTTCTTGCATCTTCTAGACTAGCCTTCCTGAGTGGCTCTCCCTCACACAATGCTTGGCCATCAGACTTGGTAGCTATCTGGTGACATTGAGGTCAACTCTGTGTTTAGGGGGCCAGCATTGTCTAGACTTCAGTCCTGTGGCCTTTTACAGGGCAGGGAAAGCTGGGTGGATAAGCAGAGACTAGCCACCTGCAGGGAGTTGCTCTTGGTCTCACTGTGTGCAGAGCAACCTCAGGGACTGTACTTATTCCTTGACTAACCAAGGATCCTCACCAGTGTGTGTGAAGGGACAGCCACTGACTTGGACATTTAACAAATGATGAAAATTGTATATTTTATGTTATTTAACCATAAAATGCCATTTTTGGCACATACTCAGACACTGAGAATTTTCTGGAAAATCTAAAAAAAAAATGCAGTATAACTGCTATTGGAAATTTTTTTTTCCTGTTTTCTCACATACCTCGTACTTTGAGAAACTACATGGCTCCTAATTTCAGCCTCTTGTGCTTTTGAAACTAGCAGCATTCACATCTTTGAACTAAGTGCATTAATGATCACTTCTTGACTTTAGGAATTTGAGAGCGTGTTTTGCGGTAAGACTGGCAGAAGGCTAAAGCTGACCAGACCCGAATCCCTGGTGACCTGCCCTGCACAGGGCAGTCTGCAGAGCAGCCCCGCCATGGAGATCAAGTGATTGGACTGACCCAGGACCTAGGAGAGAACTGCCGTTTTTTTTCGGCATCGTACACATGCCTGCCATCCCAGAGCTCAGCTCTGAGTCCTCGAGAGGGATGTGACTCCAGTTGGTGGGACTCCAGTAAGGACTTTGAGAGCACATTTTGTGAAAGTATTATCTAAACAAAACTTACCCACTATGTCCGGGTGACCATTTGAGGATGAAGACATCTTGATAATTAGTAATTTTTCAATTACCTTTCCAACACCATCATGTGTTCTTAACATGATAACTTAAAAAAATTAACATCCTTGGTAATTTCTTGAGTCTCAAGACTAAAGAAAGCATTGCCGTTTACTTATTTTGTTTACATTTTAAATATGCCCCTTTAGCAATTGGAAGAAGGTAAATTGTTCTTAACTAGAAGAGGTTTGGAAACTTTATTTCATTTGTTCTGTCCCCCCCAATTCCAGTCTCATGGTACTCTGTATTGAAAGATGCAGTGCCATTTTAAAACTTTTTGCTAAGAATTTTCCAGGGACTTCTTTTAAAGCTCCTTTTGCCCATAAACATTTTCTCGGTAGATTACTTCAATGCCCACATTTCCATATTGTGAGTCATTGCTTTACGTGTAATAAACTGCATGTTTGGAACACAGGTTTCCAGTGAGTAGCTTTATTTATTGTACAGACGGTGCAGTGTAGTTCCTTCAATAAATACTGGGAGTCAGAGATACTCAGTTTGCAATAGAAGACAGGTGAAACAGACATCGAGTTCCTCACCTTCATCACTGTAGCCAGTGCTGATCTGAAGGTTAGTAGGTTGCTTTATTGGTACTCTGTCATACGCTTTGTATAAATGTTATGTAAACAAGTCTCTTGAGTGTTTTTATCTCATGGAATTGTACAAAAAACAAAACAAAAAACCTCTTAGGTACACCATCCCTTCCAGATGCTTGGTTTAAAGTCTCCATCCCTAGGGTCTGTGCCTGAGGTATGCTGTCACAGATGAATGGGCTGCCATTAATCCTGCAGATGGGACAGTGACAGTGGTGCCAGTAGATGCTCTTGGGGGTCCAGGCAGCAGGCCGGGAAGGACTAGCTGACTGTAGCTAGCCATACTGTCCATTTCTAGTAACCACATGACTGATACCTGCTGCCTGCTGGAGTGCGTTATCAGTCAGTTCCTAAAGTTGTTTATGAGCTCCGAGGACCTGACTTTTCCCCACCCCCTCCTAACACAGCTCCTTGGCAGGCTGAGGTGTCACAGATCCCTGGGGTTCCCTGAGCACCAACAGTTCCAGGAAGGCCAGGATCACCAGGAAGGCCAGGCTCACCATGAGCACCATCTTGACCATCTTTGCTGATGCCAGGCACACCTTGAGGCCCTAGAAACCAGGAGAGTGCAGTTAGAGGCCATGAGAACTCCAAAGCAGCAGCCACATACAATCTACTTTAAAGATTCTCTACTGGCTTACTTCTGAACCCTTCAAAAGGTCAGAGATGGGACACTTGGGCACAGTCTGGAAGAACAGAGGCAAGGACTGGGCAGGATGTGGGCAGATACAGCCAAGGCCAGGCTAGCCACAGATAATCTCATGTCCTGAAGACACGGTGCACTTGGTCTCAGAAGGGCTTGTAGGGTGTATGTCAAAAACATATTTGGGAGGCTGGAGAGATGGCTCAGAGGTTAAGAACATTGACTGTTCTTCCGGAAGTTCTGAGTTCAATTCCCAGCACTCACATGGTGGCTCACAACAGTCTATAACTATAGTCTCATGAAATTTGATGCCTTTTTTTCTGTTGTGAAGATATACATGCAGACAAAAACACCTCCATACATAAAATAAATCTTAAAAAGAAAAAAGAACATATTTGGGGTTGGCAGGCAGCCTGGGAGGAAGTTGGGGAGCTTTAACTAGGGGTGGTAGATCATAGCCATTTCCAACATGATATGACCTAAGTGTGAGGGCACAGCTGGGAGTGGCAGCTGAGAACTAATACGTAAGGCCACATAGGTGGAATTGTAGCCTGAGGTTGCCAACAGGCTAGCCAGGACAGCAATTAAACAGTCAGGGCAGGAGTACCACGAAGAGAAGGGAGGTTATGCCTCAGGGAGGAGGGTAAGGAGCCTTCTGAGGCAGGGAGGGTCACCCAAGCGCAGGTCTGGTAGAGGAACCCAGAGTGGAATTCCTCAGGGGGCCTGTAGATGGATGAATTCATCCTGCTACCTCAGCCTCCTCCACGCTGAGACCACAAATGTATGCCACCACACCTAGCCCCCAGCATTCAGTTTTTTACATTAAGACACTGAAGCATGACAGTCAGGATGACTCAGCAGGTAGAAGTATTTGCCTATAAGCTGGTAACTTGAAATTAATGTCCAGAACCCATGAACAGACTCCACAAAGTTGTTCCCTGGTATCCACGTGTGTGTTGTGGCACGTGTGCATGCATGCATATATGTGCACACAGATACACACAGGCACGTGCACTCACACAAAGTAAGAAAAATCAGTGTATATGTGGTCAATTAAGAGATAGTTTTCTGGACTAGACATATATTTGGTAAGATAGAAGTTAACCAAACCTACTTAGATACAGAAAAATTAGTGATCATTGATTATTCATTATTTCTAAATACTAAGATTATAAAAGCAGTCGCTAACCAGGTCCTTAATGCTTTGCCTTTGAAAAATATTTCTAGTCCTCCCCCAGAAGAATGGTGCAATGACAGCGGCCTACCTTGGGGCCCCTGGTCCCCAGCAGGCCCATCCAGCCCTGTGCCTGTTGAACCCTTGTCTCCTCTGTCACCCTGGCTTCCTGCAGTGGGGAAAAGACACAGGCATGTTAGAATAGCTACCCATCCACAGTGATGGCCTTTTCCACCGTGTTTCCACAGAGCTCGCTGCTTTTAAGTAAGTTCTTCCTGAAGTGAGGCTGTTCACCAAGGTGCAGCTTAGGGGAAGTCTGACCAGAGAAGCACATCTACATCCTCACCCAGCACATCAACTGACACCAACCTTACCTCCAAATCACTAGTGGAATTTAGTTTTGTTTGAAATATATATGCCTCTGAAACGTTTGTGTTATTTGGTGTTCATGTTTTCAGTATCAGTTTTGGTCCACAGTTTATCAACAGATGTTTTGTTTTTATTTTATTTTAATTGAAATAAGGTTTTAGCCTGTGATTCAGGTCTGAAACTCACTGTGCAGCCCATGCTGGCTTCCAACTCACAGTGATCCTCCTGCCTCAGGGCTGGGATCACATCTGGTATTCAGGTGTTTTAAAAATATCACCTAAGTCGGGCGGTGGTGGTGCACGCCTTTAATCCTGGCACTCAGGAGGCAGAGGCAGGCAGATCTCTGTGAGTTCGAGGCCAGCCTGGTCTACAAGAACTAGTTCCAGGACAGGTTCCAAAGCTACACAGAAACCTTGTCTCAAAAAAAAAAAAATCACCTAAGTGTTCCTCAAATCTTTCATCTCTTGTTTTGGTCTGGTCATGGTCACACAGGACTGGGGCAACAGTGCCATAGTAAACCACTTACCCAGCATGCCCAGGGCCCTACATTAGCACCTCAGGAACAACAAAAGGCAAACAGCCTCCAGTGACACAGATACAGCAACACTGGTTTTCTTGCTTGATTCTAGGACCAGACAGCCATGCAGGTGAGATTATGGTGCAGGTTTAAAGCTATGGCTGCTTGCTGAACTATTTTATACTACAGCAGTTGGAGTGGTGCTGTGGTCTGCAGTCGCTAGTGACCTGGAAGGGCTTTAATGCCTTGGGACACCCACTGGTTCCATATGGTGAACCTCAACAGAGGACTCAGCAGTGTTTTCAGGGAGGGAAGAACAGGTCTGAGCTTGGTGTCTGTGAGGGCCTAATCAGGTATGTACATTCTCTACAGTGGGCTCATGGATCTAATGCACACTCAGGATTAAAGGTGCCCAGTGCCTTACACAGAGTGGGCAGTGTGACATGTTCACTTTCAAATAGAAAACAGGTTTGTGTGGCCATCCAGCAGGCTTCCTAGGACCTTTGTGTCTCAGTCATGGCCTTTAATGTCCAACTGTTTTACTCAGATCATCTATACAGGCACATAATACTCTAAATTATTTTTGGTCGAGAAGGAACTCAGATCCCTGTTTGGAGGAAATCCTATATGCTTTTAAAGATGGCAGTCACATGACACCAGATGGCACAGACTGCCTGAGAAGGCCACACTCTGGAGACATGACCAAGAAAACAGTCATTTGAAGGTTGCTTTGGTACAGACACTGCACTGAGACAAGATGAATTGTCCATGTTTGCTCTCCAGTGTTAAAATTCCTCAATCTCCAAGAATTTTAAAACAGGTATAAATGATATGCAAATTATACCGAGTCCATCTACCTACCAAAGTTTTAAGTGTAGCTTCGGAGATGACAAGGGACCCAGACTCATTTCCCATACAGATTATTTTCTTAAACTTCTTTTGGGGTCCATCAAAATCCCAGCAAAATTCTTCAAAGATCTTGAAAGAACAGTACTTAACTTCATTTGGAAAAGCAAAAAACCCAGGATAGCCAAAACAATCCTGGGCAATAAAAGAACTTCTGGAGGCATCACAATCCCTGACTTCAAACTCTACTACAGAGCTACAGTACTGAAAACAGCCTGGTACTGGCATAAAAACAGGAGGGCCAATGGAACCGAATAGAAGACCCGGATATCAATCCACACATCTTCGAACACCTGATCTTTGATAAAGAAGCATAAAACAGCAAATGGAAAAAAGAAAGCATATTTAACAAGTGGTGCTGGCATAACTAGATAGCAACATGTAGAAAAATTAAAATAGAACCATATCTATCAACCATGCACAAAACTCAAGTCCAAATGGATCAAAGACCTCAACATAAAGCCAGCCACACTTTGTAGAAGAGAAAGTGGGAAGTACACTTGAATGCATTAGCACAGGGAACCACTTCCTAAATAGAGCACCAGCAGCACAGACACTGAGAGAAACAATTAATAAATGGGACCTCCTGAAACTGAAAAGCTTCTGTAAAGCAAAGGATACAGTCAACAAGACAAAACGACAGCCTACAGAATGGGAAAAGATCTTCACTAACCCCACATCAGACAGAGGTCTGATCTCCAAAATATACAAAGAACTCAAGAAATTGGACACCAAAAGATCACATAAGCCAATAAAAAAATGGAGTACAGACCTAAACAGAGAACTCTCAACAGAGGGATCTAAAATGGCTGAAAGACACTTGAGGAAATGTTCAACATCCTTAGTCATCAGAGAAATGCAAATCAAAACAACTCTGAGATTCCATCTTACACCTGTAAGAATGGCCAAGATCAAAAACACTGATGACAACTTATGCTGGAGAGGTTGTGGGGAAAAGGGAACACTTCTGCATTGCTGGTGGGAATGCAAGCCGGTACAACCACTTTGGATGTCAGTGTGGCTATTTCTCAGAAAATTAGGAAACAACCTTCCTCAAGACCCAATAATACCACTTTTGGGTCTATATCCAAAGGATGCTCAATTGTGCCACAAGGACATGTGCTCAACTATGTTCACAGCAGCATTGTTTGTCACAGCCAGAACCTGGAAACCACCTAAATGCCCCTTGACCAAAGAATGGATAAGGAAAAT